CTTAGCAGCCCATCCGTAGGACACTCGATACCGAGCGCGTGTAGATCGAAAGGACCCGCCGAAGTTACGATATTCGTAAATTCGTTAAAGACGTAAAATTGACGTTTTGCGAAAAAATATAGATTGCCATCGATATATCGAAAGGCTGACGTTATCGCGGGCGGTATTCCGGGAAATATATCTTTTAATGGAGCGTGTCTAATGACTATCATGCGGCACTCGTCAATCTCCGCTACCTTGTCGTCGTCGTAGATCGCGTAGGTTCGTCCCGTGTGCGTGTTTATCGCAGCGTTAATCTTAACATTTCGAGGAAGTCCGATATCGTGGAGATATCTCGGCCAACCCGATTTTAGCTTAAGGCTGGGATATTCCGCGAGGTGGATCGAATCGTCCGCGAATAGTGCGAGATCGCCCGAGGGTCTTCGATACGCGGCGGATAGGCGCGTGAAATTCGCTGGGAGAAACGCCGCGTAATCCGTGAGCGTAATCCATGGGCCTACCGTAGCGTTTCTCGATTACGTCGATTGACCACACATTACGGCGATTAGCTATATGTAATCGGTGATTCATTATCAGCGCGGCGTCCACGCGCGGTAAAGCGCAGAGAACCGCGCGCGCGGGGTCAATTAACGCGACACTCGTCGTAGCGGGCGTTGCGGTAGTCGCGGGAGTCGCCGTTGGATAGTTTCCGTCGTCGTGAGACCCGTACAGATTTTGTATAGCCAGAATATCCTCTATGCTCAACTTAACCGGAAATTGATTCTCGATATCGGGTATATATGGAAACATTATCGAGTCGTTGCGCATGCTGTGTTGTAGACCCAAAGCGTGGCCAATCTCGTGCGTCAGCGTTTGCAACAAATGATGCGTGTTGGGAGGATTTTTATTTAGATACACGTGCCACGGTTGTGAATCGTCAACGTGTACCTCTGACGCGAAATCGGTCATTCCATAGCGAAAGAACGCTTGAGCTAGGGCTCCCCCGGGACCGTCGAAGGTCGCCGGGCAAATGCCTATATTCCTGCGATTCGCGTAAGTGTGCGCGCCCGTTCGATACGATATCAATAAGAGCAAAGTGGCGAGGTGTGAAATAACGAGAATTAAAATCAGTCGCGAACTACTATATGGAACGAATCGAGCAGATAATTAACGCGGCCGATTATATTAATGTGAACGGCGATTTAATTGCAATAAAGGCTTACGTTTTGGGAGATCTCGCTTCGAATTTGCGCGAGGCATTATCGAGAACAGTCCGGATTTGCTCAGACTGAACTTTCAGCTGGATGGAGACATCGATATCGCGCGTTCAATGTAAGTATACGATTAAAATTTTTATAATACTTTTTATAATAAATTATAATTGGTAATAATCCTTTTACTTTTTACTTTAGACAACAGATAGAAGATTGTATAAGAACGGCGCGAGAATCGCTCTATGATTTATTTACGAAGACGAGGACTATGCTCGCGCAGGCGCAAAATGTTCACAGCGCGTTGGGCGACGCTCGCCAACGCGACGTCGCGCTAGCCCCCGAGCAATTTGAGTTTCGCGATCGCGACTTCGCCATCCCTGAATTAATCGACAGGCTTCACGAACACGAGAATAGGCGAGTTATCGCGTCACCGATCGACGAAGAGCCCGAATGGCGGCCAATCAGCGAGGAGCCCGAACCACAGCCAATCAGCGAGGAACCCGAATCGCGGCCAATCGACGAAGAGCCTGAATCGCGACCGATCGACGAGAAGCCCGAATCGCAATTAATCGACGAGGAGCCCGAATCGCAGCCGATGAAGGACGAGGCCGAACCGTCGATGGGCGACGAGAATGAACCGCCAGCGAATGTACAATTAGAGGGTTACGAGCCCGAATCACAGCCGTTCTTTGAGCTGTAACTTCACGCGTTAATAAAATTTGATTTTTGTTTATACTTATATATTTCGTGTATTACGCATTTGTAAAATGTGATTCTTTATGAATAAATACTATATATTAAACGAAGTGTTGATTCTTTTCGCTTCTCTTTCCTTCTTCGATTTCCTCTCGCTCTCGCGCTATCTTTCTAGTAAGCGTTGGCGCTCTCTTATCGCGGAAGAATACGCGCTCGCGATAAAAAGTATTCGTTTTATATATAAATATAAATTTATTTTATAATATAAA